CCTTAACTATTCCTTACCTAAGGCAATTGCTGGGAAAACGGCCATTAATGCGTACCACTTGCTAGATCACATGCCACTTCATAAGCCACGTTATTTGAGTGAGCGCCCCGCCTAAAGATAGCGTGTGACGTGTCACGTTATTGAAGCCCATTTTACAATGGAAGTAACGTAACCGTAAAGACGTAACATAGGTCCTAAGCATGCGCACATAAAATCTGTTTTTTTTTTTTAAAGATAAAAGTCAAAATGACAATATGTTGGCAATACAATGTAAAATTGTCAATGCTTTGGAATTTTTTATGTAGAAAAGGCTTGTACTGCCAACATAGTTACTAAATTTTTGACTTGGGGAATTATCTTTAAAAAAAAACAGACAACAAACATCCATTGTAAAATGGGTTTTAGCGGGCTTTTGCGTGTACCTTATACGTACACGTACGCTAAACGAAAACGAAGTGAGCCCGAAAGGAAGAGTTGTTTTCTCGCAGGGCAAATGGTTCGAACCATTTCGGAGTAAGAAACACCGGAATATAGGTGGGTGCATGCACGCGGCGCAGGGGATAACAGAAATGCGTAGTTTATGACACCCTAAGCACTGGAATGGCACGAAGTAATTGCGGAGCACTCCTAAGCTGCTCCGGAGTAACTGAAGTCGGTCACTCACTGGAAAGCACCTCACGTCTATTTATGGAATAATCCATGAGTCCGGTTCGAACTTTTTCAAATCATGTTCAATAGTTCAATGTTACGTCTCTGGTTTAATGAGAGAATGAATGTACAGTCATGAGCATAAAAAGTAGGATACCCGACTGACAGGTCTTGTCATTTTTCGCTATTTTGGGTGAATCAGTCTTTTCTCTACAATGGATTTTTCATCAAATATGAAAATCCCTGTCATTGCCCTAGGTATAGCTGGTGAGCCCGTTTTACAATAAGAAAAAACGGGTGTCCTACTTTTTGTGCTCACGACATGTGTATAGTTCCGAACCTAATTGAATCGGGTCCAATCAGTTCCACCGCGAGAAAACAGCTCAGATCTCTGGGATCGGCAGTTTCTGAATGCATTTAAACCCCAAAAAAAAAAGATGACGTGAAATTCAAAATACAAAAAATAATTTTTAAACTGTTCTGTTCTCGTTGTTCTGTTCACTTTGTTTCTTTTAAAATCATATCTACATATTCACATCCGAAATGCTGCATAGCTTCTCATTCCTTCTAAGCAGAAGCGACCATATATATTCTCTCTAGGTACCCTGAATTATTGTGCATCACTTCCACAAGAAGAGTCATCGGCAGAATTCTGAATCTACTATAGCAAAATCCAAGAAAGGTATAATCCCTATTGCGACCAACAAAGACCTACACGTACACTGTACACCTATCAAAATTGAACTGTTCATGAAATGGTTGACGATTTTATTTTAATCGGAGTGGTCAACCGTGAAATTGAAAATCTTTGAATTAGATTCGCAAATACAGAAGTTGCCAATTTTTCAGTGGAAACGCGCCTTTATGGGGCAAGTTACCTGTCAAATATAAAGACCGGTATTAGTTAGTAGTTTTTAAGTTCAAGTTTGACTGTGATATGATTTAGATAGTGATTATTGTTGAGAGTTGTAAAGAGTTTACTTATTGAGTTAATTATTAAAGTAATTAGTGCCAGAGTGTATAGTTACTTGGAATAAATTATTGCTGTGTTAATTGGACTTTGATTTTGGAATCAACGAACCCAAGATTTCTGTCACGCAAACTAGAGACATTGGTGTCAGAAGTGGGATATAATTCGAGAACTACAAAGTGAAATCCGATTTAAGAATAATGGGGACACTAGTCTAGTGTGAACACTGTGAACAATAAGTGAACACTGGGACAGTTAGTCAGTGCAAACAGTGACAATCACAAAAAGAGACTTATTAACCGATCGTGTAAATTACCCCGGAAGTAACTGTATACCCGATTTTGACTGTGATAGTGAATTTCTGGTTAAGTTCTAGAAAATTCCACTTGAAAACCAAGGGAGGTATCGAATTTCTGACTTCGCCGACGTATTCGATACAACAATCGTCATTCAGAAAAATAATTTCGAGGAGTTTCGGAAAAATTCTAGAAATTCTATTTGGAAACAAAGGGAGATATCGAATTTGTGACTTCACCAACGTGTTTTCTATGTCAATCGAAATCCAGAAAAAAAAACATTTCAAGAAAATTCTAGAATATTCTATTCGAGAATGAAGCAAGTTATCCAGTTTGTGACTTCACCGGCGCGGCGTGTTTGGAACTTCAAGCAAAGATCAGGAAAGATATTTGAAGCAAATTTGAGGGAAATTCTAGAACATTCTGTGTATGCCAATTACGAGACATCAAGCAAAAATGGAAGAATAAAAAGTTGAGGAACTTCTGCGCAAAATGCTTCAAGAGACCAAATGTCAACAAGAAAAACAAGACGAACAGGCCCAAGGACAAGAACATAAACAAGAAGAAGAAGCTACACGATAACAAGAGAAACAAGACGAAAAGGCCAGACGACAAAAAGAAAAACAAGAAGAAGAAGCTAGACGACAACAAGAAGAGGCTAAACGGCAAAAAGAAGAGCAAGAAGAAGAAGCTAAATGACAACAAGAAGAGGCTAAACGACAAAAAGAAAAACAAGAAGAAGAAGCTAGACGACAACAAGAATAGCAAGAAGACATTGGACAGCTGCAGAAAATATTACAAACTATACAAGGATCTGTCGTTAACCTGGAACAAAAGATTAAGGAAGTTAAAGCCGAAGCTAAAGATGTTCAAGAAGTTAAAGACGATGTTCAACAATTAAGACAAGAAGTTGAGGACCAAGCTCAAGCACTTGAAGATGAGGTGAATAAATTAGAAATACAGTCCATCAATCCAGTTAGTGTTGGAGCATTCTCTAGTATGAAGATAAAACCACCAAATTTTGACGGTTCTACGTCCTGGACCATGTATATCCGACAATTTGAAGCTGCTGCAAATATCAACGGATGGAAGATGGAACGACCAAGAAAACGCTACAGCACTAATAGTGGCGCTACGAGGATTTGCCTTAGACCTTCTTCAGTACATTCCTTCAATCTACCAACAGAAAACTGCGTTTATGGATGGTGTCCGGGATTCCAAGATGAATGTCCAAGTTCAGGAAATGTAGCGAAGCCCTTGGCCGAGCATTGGAGGATAAACAAATGTCAAAAGAAGATGGTAGCTTCAAGAATCTAATGAGTAAGTTTATAAATATGCATAGAAAAAGGACATCAGAAATCCATTATTGACTACACTATCCCAAAACAGAGATCAAACATAAAATTCCATCATCTGAGAGCATCATTTGGAGAGCGAGCTGTGGCAGGGACCACTGGCATTACCTCATGAAAACAAAAAGCTCTATCCTGGACAGAAACACCGCAAAAAACAACGGAAAGGAAATTCAAGAAAACAATATTGTGCCTGAAAGTTACAACCTAAAATCTCTAGAAGCACAACTTTAATAATCGTACGTCATCTGCCGCTGTGGCTATTTTTATTATATTTATATGCTTTTATCAATGAACTACATGCTACACATACCTGGAACGGATTTGACCGTTGTTGGATGTGGCATTTATCTCTCTTATTGTGTCCGAAGATAGCTATATAGTGACGGCTACTCCCTAGTTCATTGCTATTGGGGCCGTGTTCGTTTTTGTCATCTTTTTCGTCGATTTGCCCCGAAATTGTGACAGGCACGTGACTGGATCAGACAGATTCAATTTACAAATCACGTGCCATTCAAAATTTCGGAGCAAATCGACGAAAAAGATGACAAAAACGAACACGGTTTAGGTTTGGTATATTCCTAACCTCAAATATAATATTTTTTTTGGCAAGGAAAGATCTAGACAATTCGAGTAACCGAGTAACACATGGTTTTTGGGTATTTAGTTTTTCACAAAATTTTTAGCCCACACAGTTTTCACATGGCTTGGTATTTAGCTGGACCCGCAGCCTGTTCATTTCAATAATTCTTTTTACGACTTACTACATATCTCGACATACGGCCTCAAACTGAATTGAACAAAACTAACGGGTTATCAGCGTGCAGAACAAAGACAGAAAACTCTGTCTTAGCCTTATATTAGGCTGTGCTTATATCGTGTAATACGAACTACAGGACATTAAAATACTTATAGTTATTAACATTCATAATTGAACTTAATGCCTACTAGTGCATTCACCAAGATTGGGATTAAAACTTTTTCAAAACAACTGGAACTGAGCCATCCTATTGACTACAATAATACAATACTATAATTCTGTGGTCTGAGGGAATCTCTTAGAAGTTGAAAACATAACATTAGGTCATTCTGGCATAGTCCGTCAATAAAACAAACTTGAAATCTGGTTTTCACGAATAAGAGTGTTTTTTCCTTACAGTGAAAATTTGTTGAAAACATATAAATGATTTATTTTTTCTCCAAACGTCAGAAAAACATCACTTTGTTAACCCCTGTCAAGATTTCAGAAATTTGATTTCTATGCTGCTAGGCAAATCCAGCGGATTAACACCTGTCGAGGTGGTAAAAATTCGATTTCTATGCTGCTTGGCAACCCCAGCGGCAGCAAAAGTACTTTTAATGTCGCTGGAGCGGCAGTAGAAGTACTTTTAGTGCCGCTCGTACTTTTACTGCCGCTCAACCATTCACTTGCCCCCGAGCTTACCCCATTCGTTTGGAGAAAAAATAGCGTGTTGCATACGGAGTAGAAGCACTTTTTTGTGCTTCAGCAGTATTGCAAGCCTCTCTACGTTCGGCTCGCAAACCTACCGCTTCAGCACAAAAAAGTAAAGCTTCTACTACTAATACAACAATATACTATTAGTGGGTGAATGACCTATATATTAAATTGTCAATACATTATCCGAAATCCCTCGTACACACGCGCTATTATAATGCAAACCGCCTACTTTTAAAATATAACCCACCTATTTATAACTTCATCTTCCGTTGCAGAGAAACAAAACTCACAATGGTGAAGAACTGCCGTACGTGTTCGGCGTCCCAATTGATGGTCCAAAATTTCATTTCGAGGACGTCGCCTATACAGAAGATGAAAAACGTTTGTCTATGTCTGTTATGAAATATTTTAGTAACTTTGCTAATACTGGGTAAGTAATCATGTCTACTTTATTAAATTAAAAACAATTCGAAATATTATTTTGTCGATTTAGTTAATTGAATAACTGCAATGAAAACTAAATTTATATGCCTAGGCTATAAAGTCTCAATTTCCTGACCATAATTGGATATAATTTATTTGGTGTCATTTCTCACAAATTGATTTTAAATCGTTTTGGTATTTGGAAAAGCTATTTTTTTTTTGGTCCACTGACAAGTTTTTGGTTTTTGCTGCAGTAATCAGGATTTCACTGCTTGTTCTTTTTAGCCGCGTTTCATAGAAAGAAAAGCGAAGCAATTTATCTGTTTGTGCCCTAAATATTTATTTACTTTCAGAAACCCCAACATGCCAAAAACTTACTATCCAGATCTAGACTACGAAAAATGGCAGCAGTTCGACAAAGATTGGGCGAATTTTGACAAAGACGAGCAAAACTATATAAAATTTGGTAGGTAACTGAATTTCTATTCAAAAAAAACATTTGAAAAAAACTCATTGAAATTTAATCAATTTCATTCCGGTAAAATAATGTTAATATTTTTTTTAGGAATACCAATAACTAATGGACAGTTTTACCGTAAGAAACAAATCGACTACTGGAATGAAGTCTTTCCAAACATATCGTCCTTTTCTGTTAAAAATCCCCTTCCATGGAACAATTATGTCATTGACAAAAACCGTATGGACAAATACGAAAATTTTAATAAATCAAATTTACCATTCGTATTTGGAACTGTTCATAAATTTGGATCCCGAAACCAATCGGACGCTTTTAGAGACGAAAATGTTTATGGACACATTGTAACTGCGCCGCCAGAAGAAGTTAAACAGAGTTCAACAACAGTTAGTGTCTTAATGGTTGTCGGAGCCGTATTTCTACTGGCCAATTTAGCATTTTTCACATTTTTATACATTAAATGCATCAAAAATAAAAAGAACCCACAATCTGCGCCTGCACAAATTTCAGCTGTAGATGGAAGCACTGGTGACGAGCTTTACGACAAAGAAGATAAGAGCATGCTTCTGTCTAATTGTAATATTGTGCAAATGCTTCGAAGAACGCAACAGAAAGACGACGACAACTATGATGCTGTGCATGTTGAAAATAGAAATCCATCCAAACCCAAACTTACACGAGCTGTATCAAATAGCACAATTGATGCTCACGCAAAAGTCCGTGAATGGATAACCAATGAAATTGTTTCCAAATATAGTCCAAAAAATGATAGAAAACCGAAAAAAGAAAAACATAAGACTAATAAGAAAAATGACAAATATCATTCTCCTATAGAAATTCCTCCAATGGAAATTATTGAAACAAGCCTCGACAAATGCCCAACCAGACCAGTGAGTCCAACAGAAAATGTCCCTGATAAAGCAAGACCATTACTTATCAAAACTGCCAGTATTGACAGATCTAATCGTAGAAAAAGGGCAGACAGAGTTTCAGTAGCCATCGATGCCACTCCTTCAGGCCGAGGACCAAGTGTTCTAATGCAACAACCGATTGAACTCACTAAATCATTAGACTATCCAAAAATATCTCCAATACCTCTTAGACGATCAGTTACATTGGAAGATTTTTCTGAAAGAAAAATTGAACATCCTTCTTGTGAATTGCGTAAAAGTATAACAAATATTGATCTAAAGAGCATTGAAACCGAACCAACTTATATACGTATTGAGCATGGACATTCCAAATCTGACCCTGTTCAAGATTTGGATTATAATGCTATCAAAAAGCTCAGAACCTTTGATCCCCATAATGATATAAATGTAACATGCAGAGATGAAAATTTGGAAAATCCAGCACCTTTAAGCCCTGAAGAATCTTTAATAACTATTAAAAGAAGAAATTTCCCCAAAGTTTTACCTGATCATCCTGGCAGACAAGCATTTTTGAATAAACGTAGATCAATGCCAGTTCACAATATCTATATACCAGTAGTTGATCTTCAACAATATTCAAACTCGGAACCATATTCTCCTACTGGAAGAAACCTTATGAGGTTTCCCCCTGTACCTCCTCCAAGAACAACTACTTTGGGACGTCAGGGCAGTAACCCACAACCTGTTTGTCTTTCAGAACCCATGCTTGCTGAAGAAGTGCCTTCATCGCCAGAGCCAGAAGTGTCGTGCAATAACTTATATGTTGGTCCTTTGATTCCGAAAAATAAAGTTGAAGATGAAAGGCAAAAACAACGAGCTATACCAAGAGCCATTATAACGACAAATCCAAATAATCCCATAATAAGGTCTGATCCAAGGGTTGTAGTTAAGCCTACTATAAGTAGGAATAAATCGGAGGATAAATCTAACAATGGTAAGCATATACCAAGAGTAATGGTGTCAGACAACAGGCCAGAAATATATGCCAAACCAGATTTCCTAAATTTTAATGCTAAAAATAATGAAGAGATAAGTGACCCAAAATCGCCGAAAACCAAAAAATCCCAAATACCAACCTTGGTTAAAAGTTCAAACACAAGTTTAAATAAGGAAAATTCTAGTTCTGAGTCCAACTCGCCTTCTTCAGGAGATTCAGACACTGGAACAGTAGTGAAAAGAGTCTAGAAACTGTAAATAAAAAAAATATATATATTCTCAGGTTAAATTAAAACATACATTTAGCTTTTGTACCTTCGATATTTCTGTTTTGTATTATTTAATTTTCTAGTTGATTTGGTATAAAAATTGTTACTAATATTATTAAAATATAGGCTTATTATTATTTGAATTTGCATAATCTGAAAAGTTGTGCAAAAATAATACCTACTTATGAGAGATTAAAAATAAAATAACTAAGACTTAAATCATGTTCATTAGGCACTGCCTCATTTAATGATTACGTATAGAAGTTATAGACTACAAAACCCACGTATTTAGTGTTTATTGTGAGGTGTAAATGCGTGAAGTAACAAAGTCGAAAAACTTTCAGAATCAACAATGATATATGGAGTCCTTTAAGCAATTACTTGGGAAAACATAATGTACCTACCCCTAATTTTTCCGGTGATATTAGTTCAAATATCAAAGTTAACATAGTTTGATGCAAAAAAGACATTTTAATCTTGTTTCTCTGTGATAAATTTGTTAGATACAGTTAACTAGATATTAACGAAAAATACTGTCACGAATTTCAATGAATCACTTACAATTTTGTAGTTATTTGTATATAAAGTTTTAGTATAAAGCTCTCGTAGCTGAATTTAGTACCTATTTCTAGTTGCTTTCTTCAAGCTAGCTATTGGTGAATATATGTATATTATATCTTAGACTTTATTGAAAATAAAATTATTATTTATTCAACTTCTCAACATATATTTCATGAATTAATTTATTAATATCGTTAAAATAAATACATAGTAAATTTCCTTATAATTAAGTGTAGATATATTTTTGCTATCTTACATATTGTGTAAATATAAAAGACTGAGAAAATAGAAATAATCTAACTTATTTTAATATATTATTTATTGACTTATATTTAGAATCTAAACAAAAATTATTAATTTTTATCAGTATTCAGTATTCAAATATTACTAGTTTTTTTTTCCATAATAAAGTGTGAAAAAATGATTGGTAGTTTCATTTTCTCTCAAATCTCCAGGTTTCTTTTTTACAAGAGCCAGCGTATCGCGACTATAAATATATGTATGTATAATAATTGCTGCTATTTCAAGCTCTTCTACTCTTCTTGAAATCTTCCATCTCCTTGCTGCATTCCAAGTCTGTTAAATTTTGGGCAAAACAATCTTCGAGTTCAAACTTATGCAACAATGTTATTAATCCTTGCTTTACATTAACGCCACTGCTTCTTTTGTTTATTTAGGTTCAATTTTTGTGTTCGATCTGCCTCTTCACGGTTTTTCATTTTCTTCTCCTTTCAGAGTCTCAGTTTCTTCCTCTATAATTAATTCTGAATCAATTCTTTTTTTTTTTTAACTCTGGCTTCCTTCAATTTAATATTAGGTCTTGCTTTAGTGATCTTTTCTTCTTTCCTCAAAGCTTTCTTAGTATTTGTTGAATTTACTATAGGTACTTATATAAGTTTCCCAATTACCATCGAGTGTAAATAATATGCACTTCTGTCAACTTGTGTTTTAATGTAGGTATGTACCTACAGAACTTTTTAACTTATTTGCCCGTTAGCTTCCATAAATCCATCACTGTGTGTGTGTGTGTGTTTGTGTGTGTGTGTGGCACATATTTATTTTGACCATAATTATTTCAAGTTGGGATTTGCAACGTGGAAGTATCTGGTTTTTCTAGATACTTCTCACTTCACTGCAACTCTGCGATCTTGTTCAGTGAATAGTTGTCCTGATGGTAATGCTATTCCTCGATTATTATTTGGGACTATGGAAAGTTTTTCCAAGTTTGGTCCAGAGTCCCGTTTCGCTTCTTCTGAAGTTTTTATTTTTCCAAATAGAAATCCACAAACTTTCATTAGTCGCTGCAGTGTATGTAACTTCTTTATTGTATTTGTCCTGCATTTCTTTTCAGGAACAAGTTTTCTTGCCTTTCAAAATCTATAGGGCTAGGGCTTAAACTTGTTAACTGATTTGATTGTTCCAGAAGATAATATACAAGTCATACTTGAAAGTCTAAATGGTGATAACCAATAACCTTCAAAGAAAAAAATATATAAATATCAATATATGTATGCTGTAAATAATTCAGAATGATAGCTCAAGAATCTAGCTATCAATAGAAACTCCGCTGAAAGATTCAGAATCATTAAAATAATTTAGTAAAAGAGTTTTTTCCGGGCTATAATACCGTGGTCCAGTGATATCTCTACCTAAAGTTTCGTCTACTGCTGCGGTAGACATCTTCAGAGGCGGTGTGGTAGCGGACGAAGTGTTCTCTTCCGTATTCCTCCGATGACTGGATTCGACTTTGTTGGCCCTGCGTTATTTGTATCCAGGGTTGAGTATCAGCGTGGCATGTATTACGCTTTTTCCTTGTCTCATTCTCGGAGAGGAATAAGGGTCTTTGTTTTTCGGAGAACTGGAGACCAGATTTTGTCGTTAATGTTTATGCCTTTTTCTTTTCTGTTGAAGTTATTGTGGTGTTTCTATATCTCTATGGCTTCTCTGTGGGGTCTGGTGTAAAAATGTTTGGTTCTATCCAAGGCTTTGAGTATGTTCGAAACGAATGACATGGTTTGATTGCGTTAACACGTGTTCGGCGATTGCTGATCTATTTGTCCCTGCTTGTAGTTTTTTTTTGTGCTCTTTGACGCTGGTGTTAATAGAGTGTTTGGTTGTTCGTACATAGATCTACAAGAGCAGGGAATTCTATAAACGCCAGCCCTTTCAAGAGGTAGGTACCCTAGGATCCTTGGCCGATCTTAACTTTTTTGAATTGTTCTCAAGCGTTCGTCCTATGCGATCTGTGACATTTTTGATGTAGGGAAGTAAGGCTCTCCCTGCGACCTGTGCTGGTTCCTTCCTAATTCTGCGCTGTTACTTCGGTCTTATAGCTCTATTTGTCTCCTACTTGGAGTACCGATTTCCTTCAAGTGCTGATTTTAGGTGCTGCATCTCGTCCTAAAGGTATCTTCACAAATCCGGAGTGCCCTGTCAGATAGAGTTTTATTGACTCCCCTCTTTTGCCTAGGATGGTGATTGGATTTCTTGTTGAGGTATCTGTCCGTATGCGAAGTATGCGTCGGCTTCCTATATACTCTGTGTCCCAGTTTACCAGAAAGTAATCTTTTTAGGAGGACGTCAAGGAATGCAATTTTGTTTTTTGTGTACGTCGTCGTTAGACAGTGGTGAAATAAGTTGTTGATTTCCTCCGGAAAAACATCTTTCAGATACTCTAATGCCTGATTCACTGGCACCGTGGTGAATATGAGACCACATCAAAACTAACCATAATGTAGTTTGATAGGTATTGTCTGTCGATTTTAATCTGATACTCGGACGGAATGTGAGCCTGGTGGCTTCCTACATTAGAACGCCAATGGTTACCTGACGTCACACCTGTTTTTGCCATATGAAACACCCTCTCGCTCCTCATACGGAAAGTGTCAGTTAAAAATAGACGAACAATAGTAGAGTGAGGTTATTGATATTTTTGATGAAATGAGTGGAGTCTTTGACATAAGAGCTGAATTGGCAATCCGTGGCTGAAGAAGAGTGGTGAGGTATTTAGCTATGCTGTAAGTGGGTGAATTTACTGCACTCACACCGGGTCTGAGTGGGTTGCCTCTTTTGTGAATCTTCGGAAGCCCATATATCCTAGGTGGTAAGGCCTCTTATTTGATGAGTTTCCTTATGTTTTCCGGGTCCAACGGTAGTGCTCGGAAGAGTTGATTTGTTTTTCGCAATATAGAAGCAGTGGGATTGCGCTTTAGCTTTAGGTGAATGACTGTAGGTGTAGGGGTCTAGTAGTTAGGAAATTTTTGTTTCATAGTCAATCACGTTCGTGATAACTATTGCGTTCGCTTTATCTGCCGGCAGGACTAGTATGTTCTTGTCTGTAGTCAGGCTGCAAATAGCTTTTCCCTTCCTTGTAGGGGTTAGCGGGGCAAGTTAACGGACGGGGTAAGATGACGAAATCCAGTTATCTTCTGAGCAAAATTATTTTAAATTTTAACCGTTAGTGCAGAGGGACTACAACCCGTCAACATTGTAATATTTCCAAACTCAATCCAAAGGTGTTGTTGGTACGCGCGCTAGAGCTTGTTGACAAATTACGCCGTTGTGGTTCTAATATTTTCCTAGTTTAAATAAGGTTTAACACCAACAAAAGTAAGTTCACCATGATACATACTTATATCGTTTTTATAGACCCTAAGGTGTAAAACAATAAATAAATAAAACGCATATTGTGTTTGTTTATTTTTTCTAAAATAACATTTAGATTATAATGGGGCAAGTTGGTGCGGGCAAGATGACGAATTCGTCAACTTGCCCTTAATTCGTTAACTTGCCCCTGATGTGGGTCTATAATATTGTAACAAAATGTTTTGCTCTTTATTTTAGATGGTCAGAAACTACATTAAGAAAACAGAGCGGCGCAATTGGTCAGAAGACCTAACTTAATCGCAGCTTTACATGCCGTTCGACATGACAATCAATCTGTCAATTCTGCAAGTATCCAATACAATATTCCAGAAGCAACTCTAAGAAAATTCTCTAAAAAACTAAATAATTTGAAAGATCTTCGAACGTCTAGTGGTCATTTTAAAAGAACGTTTAGTACTGAACAGGATCGCGAATTGGCTAACTATTTGAAAGAATTTCATGTGATGGCATTTGGTCTCACATCAAAAGAATGCTGAAAACTAGCTTACGAATTTGCGGAGCAAAATAATGCCACGCATCAGTTAACAACGACCTTAAATAAGCCGGTAAAGACTGGTTAATTTATTTTATGAAAAGACACAATTTTTGTCTCAGACCTCCTGAATCAACATCTTTAGGTAGACTAATGAGCTTCAATAGAGTGGAAGTAACCAGGTTTTTCGACTTGGTGAGAGAAGTGGGACTTAAACACAATTATCCCCCAGACAAAATTCACAACGCTGATGAAAGCGGGGTTTCGACGGTTCCAACCAATTTTGTCTCCTACTGACAACCGAAGAGTAGCACAATTTGCGTGGCAAGAATATAACAACAGTTTGTTACTTCAATGCTCAAGGATCATATATTCCGCCTTGGTTCATCTTCCCAAGGGTGGGAATGAGATCGGAATTGCTCAACGGCTGCCCTCCCAACAGCGACGGAATTTCCCAACAAAGCGGGTGGATGACAAATGAAACTTTCATTTTATATCTTCAGCATTTTATTAAATACCCAAACCCCTCACCCGCAAGTCCAGTTTTACTGTTACTTGACAATCATGCTTCTCATCGATCACTTCAAGCGGTAAATTTGTGCAGGGAGAAAGGCATTATGATGGTGAGCTTTCCATTCCACTCAACTCACCGACTCCAACCATTAGACGTGGGTTTTTTTGGTCCTATAAAAACCTATTATAGTCAAGCTTGTGAAAATTTTATGGTCACCAATCCAGGAAATGCAATAACAGATAAGGAGGTAGCAAAATTGTTTGGTGTAGCCTATTTAAAAGCAGCCACACTTGGGACAGCAGTAAACAGTTTTGAAAAATGTGGAATAGATCCATTCAACCCTCAAGTCTTTACTGATGTTGATTTTGCAACTTCCAAATTTAGTGAACGCCAAATTCCTGGAAATAATGCCGATAACGATTCATCTGACTCGAGCGAAAATGAGCAATTATTGACGAAAAAAATTAGACTAAGCATTAAAGAACCCAAAGTTGGACCCAGTGGATGTCAATCAAAGAAAGAAGAAACACCTACAATCGTAAAAGAAACTATCGTACAAGAAGCCATAGCTGGTCCATCTGGTGTGCCGAGAAAGGAAAAAAGTGGATCTTTGACAC